ATTATCTTTACTCAGATTTTGTTCTTTCTTTCTTTTAAGGTGTCACTTTAGTAATTCTTCAAGTTTTGGTTTAAAATAGATTACTAGCGGGTTACTTTGAGGATAATGCTTCTTTTAATTGTTGTCAGATATTTTCTAAAATTTTTCTTTCTTCAAAGTCTTTGATGTAAATATCTTCAAAGATAATTGTGTCTATGAATGTTCGGTCCATAAGGATATAAGTTGACTTGTCTGTTTCTGTTGTCAATTTTAACTGATACCATTTTTTCTGGTATTTTTGAAGTATGCATATTTGTCGTGCAAATGTATACTTTTCTTTGTTTTTGTTCATTAGAGCTAGTGATTCAGATATTTCATTTGGTAATCCTTCAACTCGGATTATTTTTGATGTCGCTCTTCAAGGTATTTTTTAAGATTCTTTATGAAAGTTGTTTTTCCTGCAGCTACAGCTTCTATTACTATGATGATTTTAGCATTCATTCTCAAGTCAAGTTTTTGGATCAGTTCTGAGTATTTTGGTAAAGGTTTATATATCTTATGGATTGTAAATTCTGTTTTTATTACTCAGATTTGATCTTCCTTTTTGAACCTTTCATTTCTTTGTAGTCTTTCTTCACTTTCTTTAAAGAATTCTTTTTCATTTTTTAATTCTTTTAATAGTTTCTCTATTTCTTCTTGGTTTCTTTGTTCTATCATTTCTTTGTTCGGTAGTTCTTTTTGATAATAATCATTTCTTGCTTTAAGGTATTCTTTTGAATTTGGTTTTAGAGTTTTTGGATAATGTTGAGTTTCCGTAAATTCTCTGGTTTCCTTTTCTGATGGTTTTGTTAGTGATTTTCTTTTTTCAATTATTATTTTCACATTTTCTTGTGCCAAATTAAATATTGTAAGTTGTATTGATTTTGCTTTTTCTAGAAATTCCATTACAAGCTCCTTTTTATCTATTTCATTATTATATTTTTCTTTTCCTAATACTTCTTTCATAACTCTTTCCTGTATCTTTGTTGGTTCGAATTTATATTCTTTTGGTTTATTCATCTTGGTGTTAAGATTATGTTCCATGAATCTTGT